CAAACATAACCTCAAAACTCCCTCCCTACTCATAGGTCACATAGCAAATATATATATATGGTCACAAACCCCCTCAAAACATTACCTTAAACCCTCATTTATATTATTACATTACACCCCTTCTTCCCACTCACAGGTCACAGGACAATCATAACCTCAAAATCTCCCCTCTCCTCTATTCTCACTCACATGTCACACGTCAAATATAACCTCAAAATTGCCCCTCCCTCTTTATCCCCAAGGACAGGTCACAGGGCAAGTATAACCTCAAAGGCCTCTTGCAAGTGAAAGCTATAGTATATTCAAAACAACCTTTTTTTACTTTTATATTAATTATTAATAAATTATAATTATTATAATTAACAATAATAATAAAATTCATAATTTCAACATAGAATTTTATGTTATTTATGTTATTTATTTATGAATTTTATGTTTTTATTTTTTTTTTAAACCAATAATTATAATTTTTAAATATTATAAAATACTATTGACGTAAATTATTAAAGAAAGAAGAAGAAAAAACAAGGGGGTTGGCGCGCGAAGCGCGCAGTCCGCCCCCTAGTATATATATATATATATATATATATATATATATATATATATATATATATATATATATATATATATATATATATATATATATATATAAACTATTAAATTCTGTTGCTTTTTGAAAATTACTATTTTCAGTATTTACATCTATTTCTAAATTAAACATGCAAATATATTAACGATTTCGTACAGTAATATTATTAAAAGTCAATTACCCTGATTTAAATCCAATTTTTTTTCTCTCAAATATAGAGTAAATTTTTTTTTTCTAAATTTCATAATACATTAATAGTGATGAAATATTTTTCACTTTCTGCAACAATTTACATTGCGTGAGTAACAAAATAGTATATCATTATGAATCACATATATATATGTATGTATATAAATATGAGGAAAAAAATGTAAGTTGTGTATATATATAATAGTTGAAAGAAAGCGATATATGAACCGTTCGCTCGAATAACGGCTTAAGTGTTTTTGAGGCATTTTGGAAAATCTTAAAATTAACACTAATTTATAAATTATAAGTAATTTAAAGCATTACTATTTAATTTAATAGGTTTTGCTTTAAACAATTCCAATCAAACATTATAATTTAGATGTTAATTAACAGGATGGTAAGCGTCTTTTGAAAAACGGCTTAAATCAACTTAAGCCGTTATTCGAGCGAACGGTTCATATATTATTATAGTAGGATGCTGTTTTTTCACTCACGCATGGCACTTCAGTCACTTTTGCTGTTTCAAATTATTCTAGTTCAATTGAGTTTATTATCGAGAGAAGTTAAAGGTTAACTTTTCCGAAAATTCAATTGGCTACACGTGTGTATTGTTCTTTATGTAAATTATTATAATATATTTTATTCTTCTTAAATGATTTCATAATAGAGGAATTAATTTCTACATTTGCTTGAATTTATTATAAATGAATTAATTTTAATTAAAGGGGATTTTAACGAGTTAAACCAAATTTTAATGCAAGTTTTTAAATGTTAAACAAAGTTTTTTTAATTTAAATATATTTTAATTACTATAATTATTATAAAATTATTATTAGTATTTTCTTTAATAATTATAAATAATTGCATTGAGAAAAGAGTTTGGTTTTGATAAAAAAACTTTTGGTTGGTATTTAAGCAACCAAATTTATTTTTATTTTGTCAATAATTGACTCAAATAAAAATTATTTGATTTCAGTAAATGTTTAATTAATAATAGTCAAGTAATCGGTTATTTAGTCAAATAAAATTTTTTTTCAGTGCATTAAATATTAATTAATAAAAATAAAATCAATGAATTTAATCAATATGTAATAATAATTGATGATGATGACATAATGGTTCAAATGCCCTTAAAGAATTATTTCTTTAATAATGAAAATTTTTTTTATTTAAAGAACAAATTTCTTGGATAGAATAAAACATTTATTTAAATCAAAGAAAATTTGTTTAAATCAAATAAATTTTATTGGTGATAATTAATTGTTATACAATTAATATCCAAAGATATGCAAATGAACTGCTTGTAATTTTCATAATTAAAACAAGCAAACATTTTTTATACAATCATACAATACAGAAGAAACACAAGTCAAGAATTTGTTTTCTTCATCATGCATTATGACCATTTCCTTTTCGTTTTTCTTTTTCCATTTTTTCACATATTCATTAAGAGAAAACATTTCGAGTGTAATTGTCAAGTGAAATTCAAGAGCAAGAATAAAGAATTAAATGGTATTAGTAAGACGAGTAAAGTACCGCTAGAAACGACAGTAACAGTTTTGTGTCATATACGTATATATACATATGTATAAATATACATGTAATATTTATATTCATATATGTGTTGTCGATATCCTGTGACCGATTTTTCAAACATTTGTTCTTACTCTCAGCTTTTAAATATATGTTAATCAATAATGAACTACTGACCATATAATGTCTAGGAGAAAACTTCTTTTGTTCATAAATAATGTAATAATAATAAAAACTAAAACATCCGTAATTTTTTTTTTAATGTCACTAATAAATAAATGCTAATTTTTCAAAAAAAAGAAAAAGAAAAATTATCTCTAAGTACTGAATTTGATTTTCATCAACTGACCTTTTTTTCTCTGTCTCTCTAGGCACTAAAAATTTATGAATTTTTAATGAACATAAGTGTAAGTGCAAAATAAATTAATACTTATTAATGGATAAACAATTTTACAAAAATACATATAATACGAGACAAATTTTTTTTAAGAAAACTAATTCATATTTCTCACAACTGGTATAAAAATTTCGAAGAGTATGAAAATATACTTTTAATTTAAATTTCTATTTTTTGTTGCAATAAAACCAGAATTAATGGAATCGAAAATTTAAAGATAAAGAATTGAATTTATTAACTTGACAATAAATTGTTTAAAAAGAAATATTATATTGTCGATTATGAAATAAATATTTACTTGAATTAAATAATTTTTTTTTATTGTATAATTTATTATAAATCCCGTTTATCTTTGTAAATAAATAATTAAACATAAATAATTATGTATAAAATATTTTGAGTCACAATTATAAAATTGTGCATAAAAATAAAGACAAAAAAATTATTAATATTATTATTATAATAAAAATATTTATGTATCATTTTTTTCAAATTAGGAAACAAAAAAAATTTTCTCGAATTTTCAGTATTTTTAGGAATAATTTTGTACAAAATAATTTTAACAAAATTTTATTCAAAACAATTTTCGTGCTTTTGACACTTACACGCACACAAGTTATTGTTAATTTAATGGCACATTTTTCCTGATAACACTGCTTAAACTGGTATCTCACTCGTGTCTTAAAATGAGTTGCTTTAAATGTTTAAACCATTGAGATACAAAATCTGTTTTATATTGAGACATTTAATTTCATCTCGTGTCTCATTTTAAGACATTGAAGGTAACTCAATGCGTATAAGACACGTAAAACGTCTTCTTAGTGTGAGACGGATACTCGAAACACATTTCGTGTCTCAAAATGCATTGCTAAATGTGTAAGACACTTTGAAACGTCTTAAAATGAGACACATATCTGTTTCAAATATGTGGACTAAGACATCTTATGTGTTTCAAATATGGGACAAAACGTCTCAAAATGAGACACTTGTTTTTGCAGTGAAGAGTTTAACGTTCACGAATTATCACGCAGATTTCTGTCAGGATTATTCTCTATTTTCGCTAATTCGCTAATTTCGCTAATTCACTCACGTGAATAAAGTAGTTTTGAAAAAAAAATTGTACACAAATAAAATTATAACAATGAGCATTAATTAAAAAAGAAAAACATTTTTTAAAAGAAAAAATTCGACTTTTTTTCATTTAGTATTTTAAATTTTACATATTACGATGTTTGAACGTTTTAAATATTAACGGTACAAATAGCTTTCTTTTTTGTAAAAAAAACCACAAAACGCTGTATATTATTGTAATTTTTATAACTGTTGACAAGTCTACTATTTTTAATTTTTCAAAAATTGTTCAAAAATATTTCAAAAGTAAAAAAATTCGAAGTGCAAAAAAATGTATTTTAGTACAAAAATGAATGTAAAACGAATGTATCATTCAAAGATATTTTAATCATTTTTGATTTAAAAAAAATGACGATGCATTTGAAATAAAATTGACTTTTTAAATTTAATTTCCATTTCAATTTGACACTATAAATAAATATTTCTGTCAAATTTTAGGGACTCGTAACGATTTCCAACGTAATTTAAAATTAAAAGTGAGATTTTATTATTCACTGCAATCATTTTTTTTCTTTTTTTGGTTTAATTTAAAAGAATTTATTTTTGACAATTTTCCGGAAATTTTGAACGTTCGTCAAAAAAACAGAATTTTTTTTACTATAAATATTTTTTTAAAAATTAGACACAGAGATTTCTTTAGGTTTTATTTAAGGAAAAATATATAACAAGTATAAAACTTTGATTTGTTTCAAATAAAATTTTTTTGAAGCAAATAAGTATTTGTTTGAACCAGATAAAATTTATTTCAAGTAAATAAAGTTTTTGCTTGAACCAAGTATAATTTATTTAAATCAAATAAATAATTAGCTAAGCTCTAAGTGAATTATATATTTTCTCAGAGTATTCTGACTGTCAATAAAAATAAAAATTTTAAATCGAAACTTTGGAAATTTGTTTTCAATGCCTGACGCAATACAATTCCAGCAAACTTTGATTTTTTAGAAGAAATAAACGAATTTCATCATTTATTTTTAAAGTTCAGAACTTTGAGGGAAATTTTGACATTCCGATCGTTAAAAAATGGAAGAAAATCGATATTAAAATCTACAACTACTGTATTTAAATTAAAAATATTTTTAATAAAATATCTATATATGTAAAAATTGAAAAAATTATTTATCTAAGTAAGTAAATACAAAAGTAGAAAAAAATGATACGCACTGATAAGATCCTTTAGTGTTGTTTCCATTTGATATCCGCACTTTTAGTTTCGACACTAAACCAAACTGAACTTTTATAAAAGTTTTATTTAAAACTGATATATAACTTTTCAGAAAAATTGGTTTATCGCACTATTAATGGAGGGGAGTGAGAAAAAAAATTATCTCCACGATGCACACAGCATTTCAAACAGCAAGGAACTGATAGTGCTGGGCCTGGCTGGACACCTTATAACTCGTGAATAGAATGCCATAAGGCCCCACCATCCATAAAATGATACACAACATTGTATATATATATATATATATATATATATATATATGTGTGTGTGTATCTCCACTTATTTATTTATTATTTTTATTATTATTAATTATTTCTTTAACTTATCTGATTACTATTCACTAATTATTTATTTACTTATTTGTTCATTTTTTATTTAAGTAATAAATACTCATTATTTACTCATTAAATTTGAATGAGTTAAAAATAACAGTAATTTGTTAGTAAAAAGACTTTGAAAAAAACATTTTTCTATTCAAATTTTTATATATTTTTGTACAAACAAATATTTTTCATAGTTTTTTTATCAATAATTTGAAAAAGAAAAATTTGAAATAATTAGTTAATAATGACTAATTATTATAGTTTAGTTTACTACTATTTTATGTTAAAACAACTAAAATTTTTTGTGACTATACTTTAGTCAAATTTGACTATTTTATTAGTTATTAAATTTATTTATTTTCTAACACTAGTAATACTGATAACTACCAGGGCTGTAAATATTTAAATCATAATTTTAAATCAGAATTTAATTAAATGACATGTTTCTATTTTTAATCAAATGATTTAAATCGAAATTTTACTTAAAAATAGCTTTTTTAATCAACTCTGACTTAAGGAAGAATCAGAACAAAAGATGAAACTAAAGTCACCAAAGTTTACATTGACAAAATTAAATAAAAAAAGCTTAAATTTGTAGTAACTATTTTGTCTTTCCCGTCCCGATTGGATTGAAAATAATAATTAAGTTCCCTTTCTCAAAAATTATTTGCTTCTTGGTCTTACATTTTTTTTCTCTTCTGGTTATGTTAATAACATGACCTTAACAAAAACGTTGGTAACTTCAGTTTCATAATAAAAGTTAGACCAATCTCATGATTTCGTTATGAAAAAAAAAAAATTAATAAATTTAAAATTCGGTTTAGTGGAGGGATAAAGAATTTAATTTTCAATATTTTAAAAATCATTAAAAGTTGCATTTGACGATTACAATTATTGCTGTCAAAAAGAAACGATTTAAGTAACATAACCTAAGGTTTAACAAATATTTCTTATTGACAAAAAATTGTAATTTTTATTCAAATGCAACTTTTAATTATTTAAATTTTTGGAAATTAAATTCTCTACCTTTATACTAGTACTCTTGTTTAAAGTTTTAAATTCAATAGGAAAACGAATATATCTTATTAATTATAAAGGCTATTAATTAAACAGAAGATAGTCATTTATTTTTTAACATGTTCGGTTAAATAGTTTCTTAAGAAAAATATAAATATTTATTCTTTGTTGCTTCCATTATAAAATTAATTTTCTATTATCATTACTAAAAAACCAAGCTCCAGGAAAAATAAATAGATTTAAATAGAAAAAAATCATGATATTTAGCAGCTCTGATAACTACTAATAGTTACTCATATCCTACCGCAATAATTAATTATTTCTTTTACTACTAATTAGGGGTGCATGAAAAGGCCCTCAAGTGAATTTGTTAGAATTTTATTCCCTAGAATATTGTTTTAGCAGAATATTATATAATTGTTAAAATGTTAGCTTGACGGAATTTCCAGAATTTTTGGACGTAAGTATATAGTAATGTGATCGAAATTTAATAATTTCGAAACGTTGTTTGAATTACAATAATTTGGCAGAAAGTCCACTTGATTGAATTTAAATTTGTGAAATATTTAATTTGACCGAATATCAATTTAAGGAAAATATTTTTTCGTAGAATTTTAATTTAGAAGAATGGTAATTTTATAGAATCTTAATATTGTCGTAAAATATTTTGATAAAAATTTACTTTCTCAGAATATATGTAAATATGTTTGAATGTTAATTAATAATTCAATTTGTCCGAATATCAATTACGTAAACTGATTTAATTTTTATTTGACTTTGACCGCGTTTCAATTTTTTTTGCTCTAGACACGTGTTTTATAGTGACAGTTTGTGTCGAAATGTCAAAACTCGAAAAAGAGCTTTTGTTTACAAATTCTTGGTTGACTCTTGGGGTTAGACAAACAATGTGAAAAAGTGTAAAGTGATTTTTTTTATTTATCAACAATACGAACTGTCACTGAAAAAATTGAAATGTGGTGAAAGTCAAAGTCAAGTCAAAATCAATATACGTAATCGACCCCCTGCTATAAAATAATATTCTAGAGAATACGTCTAATTAAATTAATTATTATCTTTGTCTATTTTTATTGCTTATTACTATTTATTCAGTGCAAAAAATAAATCTTACACTTACTTTTAGTTCCCTTTTGACTAAAACCGTTTGAGTTAAATAAAAGTATATTCGTCTCAGAGCCAACTATAGGTTATTTATTTGTTTTAAATAAAAATTTTATTTGAGCCAAATAAAATTTATTTGAAACAAATAAAAAGTCTATTTACAGCTTTGAGTGAAATAAATCTTTTTTCTGGGTGTATACAGATATTAATATTGGACTTTAAAAAAACTATAATTATCTTAACACTATTTTCAAATTAAATTAACTCTACAGGTACTTAAGTGATAACGAGCAAATTGTATTATTGTCACCAGTTTTACAGATATAAGCGTCACGTCTGTAAAATTGAACACTTATTATGCCTTAAGTCTTACGTTTTAAGTCTAACGGTTTAATTCTTATGTATAATATGTATATCGGTGAAAAGTGAAGAATTTTATGAAATCCGCCTTTATCGAAAACACATGTTTCAGATTAGTGTTGCCGCAAGACGAGACAAGACGAGATTTTTTTCAATCTTGTCTCGTCTTGCAATGTCAAGACCAACAAAGAGTCTTGTCTCCAAAAAGTCTCGTCTTTTGAGACGCAGAATCTCGTCTCGTCTTGAAGTCTCGATATTTTTTCAATTAATAAGGCTATTATAGGTCCGGAAAACAGGAAATTTAGTAATAAATTAGGATAACTATAAAATTATTCAAGGAAATCAGAGAATATTATCAAAAATACTGGAGTAAGTATTAAATTTGTAGAATTGAAGGAAAAAGATCTGATTTTTGATGCCCAGCAACCTTTGAAGATATTAAAAACATTTAATTCTTTTTGAATTTCCTATGTTCTGCTTATAAACTTTAAAATGAACCACAAATATTAATGCTAAACTTTAAATTTTTTTCATTTCTGACAAAAAAATTGATCTTTACAGAAGTTGAAATTAATTTTATTTTAAATAAGTTAAATCTTGAAGAAGTTTCATAAAATTGTTATTTATAAAATATTCGGAGAATCATTCTACTTAAAAATTGAAAAATAATTGGATTTTAGAATAGTTGAGTTTACATGCCATTTGTATAAATTATAGAATTTCAAAAGGTTTTAAATTGTATTCCCTGAAAATATTCTCGAAAGACGCAAAAAGTAAACTTCAGGAGTACCAGTTGTTGATGACATAATTTTATCTTGAGATTTTGCTATATGATCAACAATTTAAAAACTTTTTTCTTTCTTTAAGTAATTAAAGACTTACATGGTAGATTAAAAAATGGCGAAAAAAATTAAGTGTTAAAACATTTTATTTTTTCCATGAATAGAGATTTTAAATTTATGAAAATTTTGGTGGTCTTATATTTCACATTAAACTACAATTTTAGTTTTATAACTAAAATTTACAGAGTAATTCCATAAAATATAGATGTAATTTTACTATATTTTATGAAATAACAACTTATTCAAGTGCTATTTTTTCGTATTTTTCTAAACGTACACTGTATTTAACGACATTTTTCGAGTCTTGAATCTTGTCTTGGTCTTGACAGTTACTGTCTCGTCTCGTCTTGAATAGATAAGACGAGAAAAAAGTTCATCTTGGTCTTGGTCTTGACGATGATTGTCTCGTCTCGTCTCGTCAATCTCGAGTCTTGCGGCATCACTATTTCAGATAAGATAATAATTATATAATTTTAAATGTGAGTCATTAAATATAACAGGGGAAATCTCACGAAATGGGGACAAATTGGGTTCTGAGATATATGTGCCACAAAAAGCTTCCATATTGCTAACCCGCACATTTTTATACATTTGCTAATACTATATCGCGACTATGAGATATAAAAAAAATTCTTGTTAGTAAAAATTAAAGAATTATGCACCTGATTTATTCATTAAAATTGTAGAAATTGAGAAATTCTTGACGTAACTCGGATAAAATCGAATTTTCATTAAGCGATAACTTTTTAAGCAATTTTTTTTAATGTTTGGGATTTTTTGTCATTTATCTATAGGTTGTGAAGGGTAGAAAAAGGTAAATTAGATAAGTGTGCCAATTATAATATTCGAGATAATAAGCTGTTTATAACTGTAATTGCATTTTCACCTTTTTTTGAAAATCATTAATTTTCTTATAATACACTGTGAAAAATTTCTGAATTTTATCCGATAATATAAACGGGAATTTTTCCGAAATTAGGGGGAAATCAGTTTTTCCGAATATTGAATAGGAAATATTTCCGAAAGTAGGTGGAAAAATACTAGTCGCATAAAAACCGGAAATTATTCCTTTATTTTCGTCAAAGTATCCGAAGATCGCGGATTTTTTACCAGTTTTACTATAACAATTTCCAAAGTTAAATGGAAAAATAATTTTTCCGACAAAAGTCGGATATTATTCCATAATTATTTGTAAAGTTTCCAAAGATAGTGGATTTTTTACCAGAATTATTATGAAATATTTCTGAAGTGACCCAGGAGGAAAAGTCGGACGAATGTCGGAGTTTACAAGTGCCTGGGATCCGCGCCCGTGCGGACCGCCAGTACCGATGTTTTGTACCGATTCGGATCCCAAAATTCAACCGGCGCGGAACAGATTAGGCTCAGAATTTTGGATCCGCCTTTCTACTTTCGTCAGTACTGGCGCGATACTGGATTTGTTCCGCCTGCAGATTTCATTCTTCTACGCGCGTCGGAAG